AACTTTATTTCAGTGGTATTTGATCGCCTGTGCATTTATTTTTTTGCGCTGTAAAAAAAAAAGACCAACAATTTTGAGGAAAAAAAAACACTTTTTTGCTATTAATCATGTCCAATAAAAAAAAATTTAAAAATCAAATTTCATCATAAATTTAGGCCAAAATGTATTCTACTCCATGTCTTTGCTAAAAAAAAATCCAAATACGTGTAAATTAATTGGTTTACGTGAAAGTTATAGTGTTTACAAATGGCGGTATAGATACTGGAATTTTTTTTTTATACTAGTAATGGCGTTGATCAGCGATTTATAGCAGGACTGCGGTGGACATTATGACATTGGGAGGAACTGACTTGGTATCACTGACATCCCCAATGACACCAATACAGTGATCAGTGCTAAAAAAAAAAAAAAAAAAAAAAAAAAAAAAGCACTGACACTGTACTAATGGCACTGGGCAGAAAGGGTTTAACATGAGGGGCGATCAAAGTGTTAACTGTGTGTGGTGAGTGATTTACTGGGGTGCGGTGTCAGTGTGCTTCACTGTAATCACATTGCTCAGGATGGCTGTGCTGTGCACAGCCATCCAGAGCAGTGTGTCCAAGCTGACAGGTAGGAGAACTGTTAATAAACAAAACATTCCTCCTCCCCGTTGGAGATGCTTGATAATCACCGACCGGGACCCGGTGTTTTGACAGCCGCAAATATAACTAATGTATATACCATACCTGGTCAATTCCCCTGGAAGCTGATAGCTATGTCATTTAGAAAATGCTTTGCAAATGAGGTGAAGAAGGGCAGTGATGCACTTCATCCATCAGAATGCAGCAGGGCAGGCATGAGGCGTGTGGAACGGGACCTGTGGAGATCACTGAATTAGTAATGTCTGCTTCAATTAATTCCACCTTTCAGGAGCATCAACCAGCTATGGTATTAACAGATTTACAGATTTATTAATGTATAAAATACCTGGAATTCATCTTTAAGTATTTAGCTGCAAAATGTATCTAAGTAGAATTGTAAGTTATCAACGAGAGAGCACCCAGAGGCCCATTTGTTTTTATTTTATCCTTAGGGCTGCAATTACACTACAGTTTATAATTTTTGTGAAAGAAGACAAAATCACAAGATTTTGCGCATGTTTATGAAACACGTAAAAACCATGTTGTGCTTCTGGTGCCACACATTGTTAATGTCACCCCAAACATGGCAAAAAAAAGCATAAAAAACGCAAATAAATATGTGGCTAAAAAACGCAAGAAGCTCAGAGCTTCAAAAGGTGAGCTACTTTGCCAGTTTTGAACACATAAGGCAGCCCATTGAAATTAATGGGCTGCCTTATGTGTGTGGTGTGAAAATGCCCAAAAATGTGCATATATGTGGCACAGTTTTGCACACATTCACATAATGCTATAATGTGAATGCAGCTTAAGGCTCCATGCACATTAGCATTTTAAAGCTCCTAGAAGCTGTTATTAGCATTTTTTCTGTTCCTAGAAGCTAAATAGTGTTATCCTACGTGTCCATGCACACTACTGTAGGCTGTCCGTGAAGAAATACCAGTGTTAACGTACCTGGTCAGAATAGCACCAGTTGCACAGCTCCCGATGTACACAGGATGATGTCTTTCGGTACACTGACTTATGAAGGTCGGTGCTCCCTGTGGCTGTGTATGCAGCCTTGTGCTGCCATCTGTTGGCGTGTTACAAAACTAGTCTCGAAATCTTTTAATACCACCTCGTATATTAAGATTGCATTTTGGCACTTCCTAATTTATTATTATTATACAGTATTTATAAAGCGCCAATAGTTCGCTCAGCGCTGTACATTACAAAGGGGGACAGAACATGCAACAGTACAGTAACAATACAATGCAAATGTACAGAAAGCCATGAATGGCTGTGGCTGCCGACAACCTGTCATTATAGTGAATGGGGCCAGCAGCTGCACCCAGCCGCTCGCAGCAGTAATCAGAAGATTCCTGCCACTACACCTAAAATGCTGGTGTGAATGTAGCCTTATACCTCGTTCACATGGGTGCTGAGGCCCATACACTGTGAACAGGCCATTTGTTTATGTTTACTAGCCAGTAGGTGCTGGGTTAACTACTTCGCCTCCATCCACCAGGAGGAACAGACAAGCAGAAGAAACCCAAAAGAATTGATGGCTGGCAGCTTTGAATCATGGGAGATGAAATTCAGGAAAGAAACTTAACTATGACAGTCCATAGACCATTGGACTACATTTTCCAATGCAAGCTGGGTATAAGGGGAGACAGTTGTATATTCTCAGGCTGAATATCAAGGAACTTTCTCTTTGCTATGAAAAGACCGAGGTGTGCACATCAACCTGCTACAAGCCTGTGGCCATGTGCTTAGGACCGGAATCACTCCTGGCAGATCCAGAAGTGATACCATAAACAGAGGGCACATCAGCTTAGTTCATTATCCTTATACTTCATTTATTGATTAAATTTAAAAAATTTATTATATATTCACAAACCAGCTTATGCACAAGTTCACCAGAACAGGTCCAGATTCAGACTGCCAAGGTTCCTCCATATCATCTCAACACATCACAAGTAGGATTAGAACAAGTCTACATGGCTAATGCATTTCAAAGCAGGTACACTATTCCTCAGAGTCCTGACTTGTACTATTCCTTCTTTTGATATGTTGAGATTATACGCAGGAACCTTGGCAATCTGTATTTGTACTTGTTCTGATGAGCTTGTACGTATGTTGGTTTGTGAGTATATAATACATTTTTCTATTTTATCAATAATGGATATCGAAGGATAATGCACTAGGCTGCTGCGCCCCTCTGTTTGCTTATGGTTACAGCTTGTCCAGACTACCACTGTCCTAAGAAGGCAACAAAGCGTGGAATTTCCATTTGAGTCAAGATTAGAACAAAAAATAATGTGCCTATAGCATCTGAGTACCAAATTCAAGTGCAGGGGGCTTTTATATCTACTTCAGATCCAGAAGTGAGCTAACATCTGAACAGTGAGACCCCTGTTGCTGTATTGCTGGGACTGGTGAGAGGACACTGCTGCCATTAACCTGTTGCTGCTAGCAGAGACTGAGCACATAGGGATTGGCTGTCTAACTAGCATTATTTACTGCATGCAGACTTTACAGAGACTGTACTCATGTGCACCGCTATAAAGACTGGGCCCCAACACTAGAAGAGCTTGGGCTAAACATTGCTCACTCGGATAGCTGCTTCACAAGAAGTTTTCCTATTGTTCTATAGGAAGGGGTACCTCCTTTAGGGAGTTTTAAATGTCATCACTGCCATTCATATGCTGTTGAGTGCACACTAAAGCGGATATAGCCTAGTGTTTACAAAGGAGTTTTTGCAGTATTGATTATCATTGTGTTTACTGTTTTCTAATGCCTTTGCTTATTGTTGATTTTGTGGATTACCATGTTTAACTCCATTCTATGCTGCTATGGCCTATTGAACATATTGTCTAGTGAACTATGATTGACCTAATCCTTTCCTTACTCATTTATATGCATACTGCAACGTGTCCCAATATATTGGGTTAATTTACCACTAACCAGTCTGATATTTGCTTTTTGATACTGAACTTCAGTTGTGTGCAGGGTATTATTATTTGTGCTCCTGGTAGCAGTGCAGTATCTATTTACTTAACCTGGTGTGTCAGTGGGGCTGAGGTTGTTCTCTGAGTTGAGGCAAAGAACCCAATCTACCAAGCAGCTCCTGTGGGCGTAGTGCTACACAGAGTAGGATTTTTTTCTTTAAGAAAAAAAAAAGCAAATACATGTACTGTACATTATATCATTACCTGGTTTATGAAAAAAATAGACTTTAATGTCACTTTAAAGTGGACCTATCAGGAAATGTACAAGTCAACATGAATACAGTCTTGATATGTCTAAATATACATCTACCCCAGGAAAGTGACTGTAAATGGGGTGAAACATGCTATCTAGGAAAATAATGTTATCAGTCTGGCGCAGAGTGGAGAAAGCATTTCCTCAGTTGCCCCTTATCACTTGTACTTTAGCACTACAAGTTTCAAGGTGAGAGCAGGTGTGATTTGAATAGGACATGTACAAGTAGCTCATAGCATAATTACTGCACAGGCACCAGGACAGTGGTGTAACTATGAGAATAGCATTCCACACAGTTTCCTAGCGCCTAAAAGTGTAAGCGGGCCCCAGTAAGGCAGGCCATAGACAGGCCAACCCGTCGGCCATTTTTCACTGATCTCTTCATTTATTTTTATCGGTCATGCTGGAAAATCCGCAAAAAACAGCTGTTTTTTGTGGACATGGGTGGTAGCATCGGCAACGGGGCCGACCGATTTTTTCATTTATCGGCCGAAAATTTAGTCGATAAACGGCCCGTCTATGGCCTGCCTAAAACATCTTTTGAGCAAAATTAACCACTTGCCCTCCAGAGGATTTACCCCCCTTCCTGACCAGGCCATTTTTTACGATACGGTGCTGTGTTACTTTAACTGACAATTGTGCGGTCATGCAACGCTGCACCCAAATGAAATTTATGGCCTTTTTCCCCACAAACAGAGCTTTCTTTCAGTGGTATTTGATCACCTGTGCATTTTTCATTTTTTGCACTATAAACAATAAAGACCGACAATTTTGAAAAAAAAAAAACAATATTTTTGACTTTTTGCTATTAAACATGTCCAGTAAAAAAGTTAAAAAAATAAAATTTCCTCATAAATTTAGGCCAAAATGTATTCTGCTACATGCCTTGCTAAAAAAAAAAATCCCAATACATGTAAATTAATTGGTTTACGTGAAAGTTCTAGCATCTACAAATAGCGGTATATATATATATATATATATATATATATATATATATATATATACACACATATATATATATATATACATATACACACTGGAATTCTTTTTTCTACTAGTAATGGCATTGATCAGCGACGTGCGGGACTGCGGCGGGCATTCTGACACTGGATGGCAACTAACTGCCACTGACATCCCCAGTGATCAGTGCTAATAAAAAGCACTGACACTGTACTAATGACACTGGGCAGGAAGGGGTTACCATCTGGGGAGGTCAAAGGGTTAATTGTGTGCTGTGTTGTGTTTTAATATGTAGACAAGTTGCTTTGTATTGCTCTGATGTGCAGAGCAATACAAAGCAGCCTGTTCGTGCTGAAAGGGGACAGATCTGTATTGTTTACATACAGACCTCTCCCCTGTCAGCTCTGCCGAAGGTCACCGAGTCCCGACCGAGATTCAGCATCTGGGACCCGGTGATTGACATGCCGAGGAGCCAATAGCAGCGCAGGTAGGGAGCGTGCGCACACCCCCTACCGGGAAATACAAAATCACGTGTATATATACGTGATTTTGCGCATCCCTGCTGCCCTGTAGCAGTACTTCTGGTATAGGGTAGTCGGGGAAGCGGTTAAACAAAGAAAATCAGTGTGCATGTGAAGAGAACACAAATCCAGGTACTGCATTATGGGTAAATCTACCTACCTTCTAGCTTAAGGGGATGATTGAGGGACAGTAAAAAATGTGCATTTGAACTGCACGTTTAAATGGGGCCTAAGGGTTAGAGAAGTTGCTTTTGACACTGACCCTGAACCCAGTCAAAATTAGCTGACATCAAATGCACAGAAGCCGTCTTAAGATAATTCTGATTACTAGTCACAGAGACCTCTTTGCAGGCATGCAGTAATAAGGGGGGCCTGCACATGGAGGAGAAAGCAGCTTGCTGAGTGTGCTCCTGCTGAGACCTGGTTGGATATCTTGCTCTACAGACGCTCTCTCTCACCATCTCCCATCCCCTATGGGTTGGAAGGGACGCAGTGCATCGACTCTCCGCTACGGCATCCCAGTGTTCTTCACGCCGGATGGTAGGCCCTGTTCCTCCTGCTCACAAACACGGCCCTGTTCTGGCTCGCTCCCAGTCCCTGTCCCCTTTCCCGAGCCCCATGTTGCAGCCAGCTGAGAGCAATGGGCAGGGTCCCCCTGTGTCACTTCCCTCCTCACCCGATGACAGCCAGGGACATGAGGAATGGGATCTCAGGGATTATCTCCGGGCCCTGCCCACCTGTACAGAAATGGAGACCTATGTGAAGCGTCTGGAGCAGGAATATCGTACAGAACTCCACTCTCTCAAAACTGAACTGCAGGTGGTCCGCACAAAAACTGCTGAGCTGCAGCAGACCTGTCATCAGTTGTTCACTACTGCAACTTCTCAGGAGCAGCGCCTGGATGCCCACGAGGACCACACTGCCCACTTATTTCTTCTTTACGAAGATTTAGATAATTGCAACCGCCGCAACAACATCCGGTTGCGGGGTTTACCTGAAGCAAAGGGCATGGAAGATCTTTGATCTATGGTCCAGGGCATTTTGGGCACTTCTAATTCTGTGGATCTAGAAATTGACAGAGTGCATCGGGCTTTGGGCCCCCCCGTAATCCTGATCCTACTAAATCTAGAGATGTAATTTGTCAGCTGCACTTCTCTCGTACCAAGGAGGACATCAGCGGAAGGCTTGTGAGAAGAGCCAATTGGACTTTGATAGGGCGTCCATTACGCTTCTGCCTGATATCTCTTGCCCCACCCTGGAAAAGCAAATGGCTCTCAAGCCCTTACTTGCTTTGCTACAAGAATGCAACATCTCCTATTATCAGGGCTTTCCCTTCCAACTGAAGATCCGGCGTGAGGGCAAGTTATTCACCATCAGATGTGCTTCTGAAATCCCCTCGCTGTTGTCTGCACTTCACCTGCCTGACCTTCCTACCCTGGACTGGCCTTGGTCATATTCTCTGCCAGTAGGATTTGGACGCTCTCGTACCCCCTACCTGATGATGTGCACCACTTTGGGTTCTGGGCCTCCGGTGGAATCTGGGGGCACAGGCCGATATCCATCTGTATGGACTTCACCATTGCTAGTGCTCATTTTTCTCTCCCTTCTTTTTTATTTTTTGCATCAGGGCCCTTGTCCTGTGTTAAATTTTCTGAATTTCTGTTTTTTTCATTGCATTTATTTTGATTGCTTTTATACTGATATCTTATATGTGCATCTATAAGGACGCTTTCGTTGTTGCCCCCTGGTGATGTAGGGAGATCCTCCCCTGCTCCTTCTGTGGGGGAGGTGGGGGGACACCTGCTCTCCTGGTGCCTCTGTGCCCGTTTTTTGGGTCTGTTTATAGGGCATTTTGGGGGGTGTACTTCTTTTGGCATTGGGTATGCAGGGTGCACATGTGGCGGCAGGACATAGCGGGGGTGGTGCATCCCTAATTGGGTTTGTAAATTTGCTCTTTGGGGCTTTTTGCCTCCCTGTGGGAGTGGTACCTTCCATTTACTACATAATGTTTTTGCTCCTTGCCCACCATTTTCGTCTTTGAGTGGGTGGGCTACTCGCTGCTCAGTTTTTCTTGTACTTTGTCACCTATTTTGTTGCAAGATACCCGCTGCTTGTCCCGATGCTGCATGTTATGGCAATATGTTTAGTCTCCTGTGTTCCGTGGGGGTTTTGGTTGCTTTGGATCTTTGGTCTGAGCCTTGCCCCTCATGGAATCCTCTATGTTATGTTCTTATTGTACCTGTTTTATCGGTGTCACCCTTTGCTTGGTCTGATGGTTGTGATTTTTATCTCACCCTACATTTATGGACTTGTGCTGGTGGGTGGCCTCCTCTGGGGGCTTGCTAGTTTGGCCTGGCCACTTTGTCTCTTCAACCCATGTCCATCTATGTCCTATCTGGGATTCTCCATGTGCCAATAGCACTGGTCTGTGGCGGGTGGGGGGAGGTGTCAGATGTTGGTGGGTTCCTCTTATTTTATTATTTTGCCTGTTGTTGCTGAGGGGTCCTTAATATCGTTGTGCCTTCTCTCCTTACCTACCCCCAGGTCTCTTTTGTGAGCTCCTGCCGTGCGTGTCCATTTCCTCCCTATATTTTCACTGACGCTCTGGAAGGGTTCAGTGTTTTTTTGGATTTTTCCATTGTTTTTCGTTTGTTTTCCTCCTGGTTTTCTTTTTTGTTATTTTTTGGTTGTCAGGTAGCCCTGCACCCAGTGAGAGAATTTCTCTCTCCTACTGTTCTTTCTCTGTTCTCTCTTTCTCATATTTTTCTTTTTTCTTGCTTTTATATCTCTTTTTACCCCTTTCCCTTTCACCTCCCTTCTTCCCAAGCAGGATAAGGACTTGAGAAAACTGCTCTATCGGCCTATCTTCCTGATTGGTGTGGATGTTAAGATTTATGCCAAATTGCTTGCCGCTTGTCTACAGCCCCTACACCCGGACCTTATTCATACTGATCAGGTGGGGTTTGTGCAGGGTAGAGAAGCTGGTGATGTCACTTTGAAAACTCTATTGGTTATGAATCATGCTCATTCTGTGGGACTCCCTGTTTGCCTCTTGTCTGTTGACGCTGAGAAGGCGTTTGAAAGACTGGGGTGGCCGTTCTTGGCACAAATGCTACCTTGGAAGAGCTACAGCAGGTGTTGACGCTACACCGCCGGCGCCACAAGGGGCCCCGGCGGCCATCTTGTTATTACCTGGTCAGCATTGTTTGTAATACTCCTGATATGCTTATTTGCCTTGTCCTTGGAATAAACATCCTAAAGATACTGCACTATTAGTGTCAGGAATGGACTTGCCAGTAATGGTGGGACTCACCTGCCTTGTGGGCTGCAGTACCAGGGCTGGCCAGCGGGTGCTCTCAGCAATCAGAGACTCAACCCTGCAGCCAGCCAAACACCTGAAGCTGATTATGCAGGTGTATTTAAGGGATGGCCAGACCTGCAGTCTGGGCCTTGGTGTGTGTTTTCCTGGGCCCCTGTATCTTGTTACCTGCATCCCTGTTCCTGTTCCTGTCTGACTGATTCGTTGCTGACCCTGCCTGATCCAGACCTCTGCTGACTTCTCCTGTTTGATCCCTGGCTTGTGACCCCGACCATTCACTGCCTGACCCCCTGTACCTACCTGCCCGTTAGTTGCTGTACCCGGCTCGTGACCTGACTACTCTCTGCCTGCTCCTCCTGTTCCTACCTGCCTGATTGTTATTGACCCGGCCTGCCTGACGACGCTTGCATTGTATGTATTGTTATCTGTGGGTGGTTTGGTTCGTTTGCACTGTGTTATGTTTTAGTATTGCACTGCATTTATGTATTGTTAGTGTTAATAAATTATATTGTTTATAACATATCTGAAGCCTGCGTTTCCCTGCGTCAGTTCACATACCTCTGGTCATACCCTGGAGCCCTGACATTACACCAAGACCAATCCTGACCAGAAGTGGCTGCACAGGGAAGCCATCTTGGCTTGTTGCTGGGAAAGATGGATCTTGATGAGGTTGTGTATTTGTCGCTGCTGGTTTTTGATGACAGAGAATATGCTTATCAGACTCTGAGGGAGTATACCCGGGATCAACTGCTAGAATGTATACGGATCGCTCATGTTCTAGTAGATCAGGGCACAGAGTTCTTTGATGAGGTCTTGATGAGGTTGTGTATTTGTCGCTGCTGGTTTTTGATGACAGAGAATATGCTCATCAGACTCTGAGGGAGTATACCCGGGATCAACTGCTAGAATGTATACGGATCGCTCATGTTCTAGTAGATCAGGGCACAGAGTTCTCTGAGGTGCAACCTTTGATTCAGGTTTGTGTAGAGTTGGCTTCATCTGGTACCCCTGAAAGCAGGAATGACTTTTTGCCACCATTTAGTGCAGACCAGGTAGAGTCCCTGGTATGGTTATTAGAGGATGATGTGGATTGCTTCTTGGAGCATTATGCTGCATGTTCACTACAGGTATTAAGGAATTGTATAAACGCAGTGCAGTCTTTGGTCAGACAGGCTTTGTGTAAGCTGAGCTTTGTTCAACCCATACTGCAGACATGGTCAGACTTGTTGCACCCAGCCTCAGTCAGCTTGCAAAAACCCAGTCCTGCTTCTAATCTATTTCTTCAAAGCTCTATTCCTGCATTCCCAACAGCACCTCCAGTTACAACCCAGTATACCCTGCTATCTACCGCATGTCAGTACCCTGTTCCCACTCGCTGTACCTATCCTGCCTTTAACCCTGTAAAGAAGCCCTCTGTAGCAACTGTTCCCTCCCCTGTTCCATCCTCAAGCTCTTCTCTGTCTCCAGCTGCTCCATCCGTTTACAAACCTGCGCTTACTTACAGTGCTCCGGTAACTAAAAACCAGGAAAAGGCGAAAGTTCTTTCCAACCAATACCATCCTGCCAGTATCCAAACCGGTCAGCCTCCCATCTGAGAACCTGCCTTCCGTGGTGCAGCCTGGTGCCTCGGCGCCCACAATTCAGCCTGATGCCTCCATTCAGCCTGATGCCTCTACCCAGCATGATGTTTCTACCCAGCCTGATGAACTGATCCAGCCTGATGATTCCATTAGGCCAGTTGACTCGATGCCCGCTGTCGAGCCAGACAATCCAATGCCTGATGACCCAGTGCCCGCTGTCATGCCTGGTGACCCGATGCCCGCTGTCGGGCCAGACGATCCAATGTCTGACCCAGTGCCCGCTGTCGAGCCAGACAATCCAATGCCTGATGACCCAGTGCCCGCTGTCATGCCTGGTGACCCGATGCCCGCTGTCGGGCCAGACGATCCAATGTCTGACCCAGTGCCCGCAGTCATGCCAGTTGACTCGGTGCCCACTGCCTTGCCAGATGACGCGGTGCCCGCTGGCGAGCGAAATGACCTTATGCCTGGTGACCCAGTGCCCACTGTCATACCTGGTGACCCAATGCCCGCTGTCGAGCCAGACAATCCCATGCCTGATGACCCAGTGCCCGCTGTCATGCCTGGTGACCTGATGCCCGCTGTCGGGCCAGACGATCCATTGTCTGACCCAGTGCCCGCGGTCATGCCAGTTGACTCGGAGCCCACTGTCGTGCCTGGTGACTCGGTGCCCACTGCCTTGCCAGATGACGCGGTGCCCGCTGGCGAGCCAAATGACCTGATGCCTGGTGACCCAGTGCCCGCTGTCATGCCTGGGGGCCCGATGCCCGTCGCCCCGCCTGGGGGCCCGATGCCCGTTGCTCCGCCTGGGGGCCCGGTGCCCGTTGCTCTGCCTGGTGGCCCGCTGCTCCGCCTGGTGGCCCGGTGCCTGCTGCTCCACCTGGTGATCCGGTGTCCAGCCCGATGTGCCTCTGCCCGGAGTCCAGCTCGATGTGCCTCTGCCCAGAGTCCAGCTCGATGTGCCGCTGCCCGGAGTCCAGCTCGATGTGCCGCTGCCCGGAGTCCAGCTCGATGTGCCGCTGCCCGGAGTCCAGCCCGATGTGCCGCTGCCCGGAGTCCAGCCCGATGTGCCACTGCCTGGAGTCCATCCCGATGTGCCACTGCCCGGAGTCCAGCCCGATGTGCCTCTGCCCGGAGTCCAGCCCGATGTGCCTCTGCCCAGAGTCCAGCTCGATGTGCCTCTGCCCGGAGTCCTGCCCGATGTGCCGCTGCCCGGAGTCCTGCCCGATGTGCCGCTGCCCGGAGTCCAGCCCCATGTGCCAGTCTTTGATATCCCGCCAGTTACCAGACCTGGGCGGTGGAACATTTTGCCCAGCTAGGACTGTTTGGAGCGTCCTGAGGCCGCTCCTTGAGGGGGGGGGGTACTGTCAGGAATGGACTTGCCAGTAATGGTGGGACTCACCTGCCTTGTGGGCTGCAGTACCAGGGCTGGCCAGCGGGTGCTCTCAGCAATCAGAGACTCAACCCTGCAGCCAGCCAAAACACCTGAAGCTGATTATGCAGGTGTATTTAAGGGATGGCCAGACCTGCAGTCTGGGCCTTGGTGTGTGTTTTCCTGGGCCCCTGTATCTTGTTACCTGCATCCCTGTTCCTGTCTGACTGATTCGTTGCTGACCCTGCCTGATCCGGACCTCTGCTGACTTCTCCTGTTTGATCCCTGGCTTGTGACCCCGACCATTCTCTGCCTGACCCCCTGTACCTACCTGCCCGTTAGTTGCTGTACCCGGCTCGTGACCTGACTACTCTCTGCCTGCTCCTCCTGTTCCTACCTGCCCGATTGTTATTGACCCGGCCTGCCTGACGACGCTTGCATTGTATGTATTGTTATCTGTGGGTGGTTTGGTTCGTTTGCACTGTGTTATGTTTTAGTATTGCACTGCGTTTATGTATTGTTAGTGTTAATAAATTATATTGTTTATAACATATCTGAAGCCTGCGTTTCCCTGCGTCAGTTCACATACCTCTGGTCATACCCTGGAGCCCTGACAATTGGCCTCCTCTGTTCTTTTGAGCTCCTATGGGAGCTGGCTACATTTACAGAGCGGTCTCTTCCGAGTGTGGCAGTACCATGAAGCAGTGAGGGATACATGACCAGATCCGACCAGACCAATCCGAGGATATCTGATGTTCTGTGGTTATTTATCACAAATGCGCATTGAGATTGCGTATCTGGTGAGTGCGCAATCTTTATACATTTTTGTCACCTCTTCCACGGTTCCAGCTATTGGATATCTGAAGATCACCTGAGATCTTATCAACACTCTCACATTGGACTTATCCCATCTGATAGAGTCTGACACTTTCTTCACTATATTGGCCACCCATCTATTGGCCCATGTATTTGCACATTGTCACTTTATTTATTATACTGTTATAATGTTTTGATGCTTAGTATTTGTGGATTTCTATTAGCGCTGCACCCCCACCTCTTAATCGTATGAGGACTGGCTGAAATCCTTTACTCTTACCCACCATTTGTCTCTGACCAGCAAACAGCAGGAAACCAATGTCAAGTTGCCCACTCGGTGGTATAGATATCCTACCCTACTTCACATGATTTTCCCTTCCACCTCTGATCTCTGTTGGCGCTGTCGGGCTGCCCCTAGCTCTATTGTTCATGTCTGGTTGGAATGCCCTCCTATTCATGCGTTTTGGGATATTGTTTTGCGAGTCTATTCTGCAGTTATAGACCTGATGGTCTCCAATATGCCTCAAGTTGTTCTGCTCTCTATCCTGCCTGTCTCTTTCAAGTGTATCAAATGTGGACTTCTGCGCCATTGTTTGATGGCCGCCAGGCTGGTTATACCTCGCCATTGGAGAACTAGCTGTGTCCCGACCCTTCTAAAATGGGTTGAGGATATGGATCAATTTAAAAAAGGTTAATCACAAAAGGTTGATAATATTGGAGCGCGGTACAGTATAAGAATTCATAGTTTAAGATCATATTGAACGTATGGAGTTCCTCTTGGCTCAGGAATTGGGCACTTCCGAACGTTGTCGTCAGACCTGGCTCTCCTGGAATATGTATAGGGAGTCCTCTGCACTTCGTGCTCTCTTGGCTACTTGAACGGGAGTTATCTTTTTCCTCCCTTTCAGGTCCTTACTAGTTTGTTGTCCCACTGGGCGTCTTTCCTCAGACGCGTCTATTCTTCTCTTTCTTCTTTTTCCCTTTCTCCCTCCCTCCTCAACCCTTCCCTTTTTTCCCCCTCTCTCTCTTTCTTCTTTTCTCCTTTTCTGGGTGCTGGTTTGCCGGGGGGGGGGGGGTTGCTTGTGGACTGCTGACAGGAGGTTCCACCATCTCTCCTTCCACTGATATCTATTTCCCTTCCTGGTGCCTCTTCTTGCAGTTTTGTTTTTTTATTACGCATTGTGTCATTATTGTTTGTACCCTTTGGGGGCCTGACCCTATTGTACAACCAGGCTACCTGCAATGTGTCCTTAGATTTTGTCATTGATGCTACTTAGCACCAGCATATTTCAGTCTTTGCTTCTTGTCCTACTTGCCCGTCCTAATTTCTACCCCCTTCCCCTGCCCTTATTCTGTGTTGTTTGGGGTTTTTTTGTGTGTTTCTGTTTGTTTAATTTTTTGTCCCTCCAATGTTATTGTTTGTGTGAATGCGCTCTCTTTTTTCTGTATTGTTTACAAAACTTTAATAAACTCAGAATGATCAAAAGCTAAAAAATAAGAGCTGTGGTTTGTAGTGGAGTAATACTGTATAATACTAACCTATTGCTATCACTATGGCTGATCACTACCACGTATATCTCAACCTCAGGAAGGAGTTCTGGCTATTGCAGCCAGTTGCAAGTAATGGGTCTGTGTGCCTTAGTTCAATCCTCATTGATGATCAAAAAAGGAGCTGCAGCAGTTTGATGCAGCTCGTGTGCAATCAGCATGCAAAAGGATCTGTGTCCAGAGGGTGGTACACTGTGCACAGAAGGAGGTACTTGTAATCCTTCACACTGTTTTACTTACTCTTGACCCCTGCTCTCTGTGTGTGTACAATCCTGATCCTTGCACACATGCATTACCTACTCTTGATCTCTGCACTATATGCACTACACACTCCTGATCCTTGCATCCTGTGTGCGACACACTTGTGACCCAAAGCAGAGTTTGGCTCAGGCTTTATTTAACCATTCCCCTTTTAAGCCTCTTACACTCTTATCTGGACTCAACCACTATTTGCTGTTGGGCATTTTCTCCAAGGAGGTGCTGAGGAGTGAACACAAGCGTGGTCCAGGAAGGGGGGGAGGGGGGATGTGTGAATACCTTCACCTATTCTTTGAAAAAAAGTCCTGTTACTGTAAAAAGATGCATAATCGGATGAGTGATCAGATGTAGAATAATTGTAAATTGCAGTTTACTAAACAGGTGCAACATAGAATCAAAAATGCAAAACTAGGTCAGAATGGCAAAGAGCATGCATGCAATGCAGAATAAAACAAAACAAATTATGAAAGCCACACAAACATTTTCACAGCATCATCTCTGTGACTCATGCGGTACAATAGGACAGACCACATGCCTGCTCTGCAGCTTTGGCACAGCTATCCCCACTTTGTCTCAGCATTCAACAGCAGAGAGGACAGATCTCCTCTAGTAGATCTCCATACAGTTCCAGAGGGGCTGGTCTTTGCCTCCTTTTCTCAGCAGTTGGCAGCATAGAGAACAGAACTCCTCCTACAGATCCTGCACCTCTCTTTTCAGCCACAGCACCCATCTGTCTCTGCATCCATTGGTCTCAAATTTGGCAGACTCTCCTCTGGTCCTCCTCCAGACCCTGCACTTTCTGCCTCCCAGCTTTTTTCTGGTAGCATCAAGAGGTAAGACGGGTGTACTGTGATGTAGGGGAGGGTGGGGGACTCTTGACTTGTGATGGTAGTGGGGCTTTTGACATCTATTGTAAAGGTGATGGGGTGCTCTGGACATCTACTATTAATATATAAATAATACAATTCTATGGCCCTTTGAGGGCAACCATAATGTCCAGGAACCCATGGTGAGTATATGGAGACTACACTAAACCGCTAAAAATTTTTTTACTGCCTACTAGACTACCTCTTTCAGCAATTTCTTGCTGTGATGGTAGGAAATGTCGGAGTACTTAAAATGTTTTAAACATATTTTATTTATTGTGGGGAAAAGTTCTTTACAACACACAGGAGACATAAGGCATAAATCAGAGACAATGAAAGTCAAAACGCATTTAGTGTCAACTAAATGTATACAAAAACAACCTACGAATATAGGAATATTCATTACATTTACAGTATGGCAAACAAGACAGAGATAGAAAATAGTCAATAATAAGTTTCCCGGGAACTTCTTCCGAGTTTTATCAATGCAGTATTGGAGGTCGTCCTGGGGGAGATTTAGAACTTAGAGGTGAATAAATGGTCAGGGGAAGTGGGAACCATGAGACATAAAGGATGGCTAGGAGAAAAGAAAAAAAATGGGGGGCGGGGTGCTGTTACAGGGGGAAGGGAGCCTGGGAAGAAGTATATCCTCTCACTTCCTTACCTCTGAAACTCCCCACCCACAATATAATAGGTTCAAGGAAGTGCTGTGAAGGTCTCAAGTCAAAGGTTATGGTTTGCATGTCAGTCAGAGTCCATCCTAGAACTTGAAAGCTTCAATGAAAAGTCAAACTTTTTGTTTGGATGAGCTTTTTAATTTCTCCCAATAAAACCATTTTTGGGTTTGGTCGGAGCTTTTGTCCCAGAGGGCCACAGTGAGGTCTATTTCTTGGATGTGCAATAATAATTATGTTGTGACACTCCCGCACTACCCAATAAATACTCAATTTGATCAAACAAAATGCGAAAATTCTCTATGTGAAACACTCCCACACTCCCCAATAAATCCTTATGTGTAGAGCTACTCCATTGATTTACAAACAGTAAAATTCAATCTTACTGGCTGACAATAAAATGTCACTTTAAATTACTAATAAAATAAAAAAAAAAACAGATATATCAATAAATTATATATTAGTGGCTGTAGGCATAAACTTTTGTTCCCACAGTACTCACTG